CCTAATCATTCACATAAAACAATACATTGATTTAAATTTTGTAAGACACTTTTTGTTTGGAAAGGCAATATGCGGGGGGCATGAATGATCATGAATAATGCTCTGATTCACACCTGAGAAGACAATGACCTGCATAATGGCCCGCATAATGAGCCTTTCATTCAGGTGTGTCACTGAGCCACAAGAAAGAATGCAAGGACAAAAGAAATATATACACTCACCTAAAGGATTATTAGGAACACCCGTTCAATTTCTCATTAATGCAATTATCTAATCAACCAATGACATGGCAGTTGCTTCAATGCATTTAGGGGTGTGGTCCTGGTCAAGACAATCTCCTGAATTCCAAACTGAATGTCAGAATGGGAAAGAAAGGTGATTTAAGCAATTTTGAGCGTGGCATGGTTGTTGGTGCCAGACGGGCCGGTCTGAGTATTTCGCAATCTGCTCAGTTACTGGGATTTTCACGCACAACCATTTCTAGGGTTTACAAAGAATGGTGTGAAAAGGGAAAAACATCCAGTATGCGGCAGTCCTGTGGGCGAAAATGCCTTGTTGATGCTAGAGGTCAGAGGAGAATGGGCCGACTGATTCAAGCTGATAGAAGAGCAACTTTGACTGAAATAACCACTCGTTACAACCGAGGTATGCAGCAAAGCATTTGTGAAGCCACAACACGCACAACCTTGAGGCGGATGGGCTACAACAGCAGAAGACCCCACCGGGTACCACTCATCTCCACTACAAATAGGAAAAAGAGGCTACAATTTGCAAGAGCTCACCAAAATTGGACAGTTGAAGACTGTAAAAATGTTGCCTGGTCTGATGAGTCTCGATTTCTGTTGAGACATTCAGATGGTAGAGTCAGAATTTGGCGTAAACAGAATGAGAACATGGATCCATCATGCCTTGTTACCACTGTGCAGGCTGATGGTGGTGGTGGTGTAATGGTGTAGGGGATGTTTTCTTGGCACACTTTAGGCCCCTTAGTGCCAATTGGGCATCGTTTAAATGCCACGGCCTACCTGAGCATTGTTTCTGACCATGTCTATCCCTTTATGGCCACCATGTACCCATTCTCTGATGGCTACTTCCAGTAGGATAATGCACCATGTCACAAAGCTCGAATCATTTCAAATTGGTTTCTTGAACATGACAATGAGTTCACTGTACTAAAATGGCCCCCACAGTCACCAGATCTCAACCCAATAGAGCATCTTTGGGATGTGGTGGAACGAGAGCTTCGTGCCCTGGATGTGCATCCCACAAATGTCCATCAACTGCAAGATGCTACCCTATCAATATGGGCCAACATTTCTAAAGAATGCTTTCAGCACCATGTTGAATCAATGCCACGTAGAATTAAGGCAGTTCTGAAGGCGAAAGGGGGTCAAACACAGTATTAGTATGGTGTTCCTAATAATCCTTTAGGTGAGTGTATATACATACTACAGAATTGGTTCAGAGTTGGAAACATCTTGAAAAAAATTTGTCTTTTTCCACAAATTGTGTATGCTTGCAAATTGTATAATATCCAAGGTAATAATAATATTAGAGACAAAGAGAGACATCTCTCTCTTTTCATAGAGATTACATAAACAGAGAATATTTGTTTTAGTTTTGAATTAGATCATTTAAAAGCAGACAATTAAATGATTATACAACATGACATCATGACTTTGCGTAAACATACACGCCACTTTCAAGTCAAGTGGCGTGTTATCTATACGCATTTTGAGCTATCCGCGTGTACGTCCACGCCGAAATCTTTTGCGTGTATGTCTACGCCGTTAAATGTCCAAGTGATTCCGCGTGTATGTGTACGCCGTTAAATGTCCGAGCGAAACGAAGCAAAAAGTATATATCTACGTCTGTGGAGCGATATTTTTTTCCTAGGATGGTAGGGGAAGACTCATAAATGGTATTAACCCCAGTGACGGGTAGGTTTAGGGACGGGGCTGGGGTAGGTCATATATTTATATATACAGTAATGTAGTTAAGTCAACGGCGTTGATAAACACGCTGAAAAGCGATTATGCGTGTTGATAGCACGCCAAAAATAGAAATACGAATTTGCGTGTCATACATACGCCATTTCATGAGATCAGTCTGGATTATAAGGATATATTGTTCATGCCTGGGTGAATAGTATTCGCTGAGTTTTGTTTAAAGGTGCAGTGTGTAGATTTTAGCGGCATCTAGCGGTTCGGTTGCGAGTTGCACTAATAATAATAATAATAATAATAATAATAATAATTCATTACATTTATATATCGCTTTTCTCGGCACTCAAAGCGCTTTACATAGAAGGGGGGAATCTCCTTAACCACCACCAATGTGCAGCATCAACCTGGCTGAACTGACCTGGCTAAGCTCAGCCCACTGCTCACCCCTCCCTTTCGAAGAAGCTACGGTTGCTAAAACGGGACAAACATATCGTCGTCTGAGACAGCAGAGAATAGCCAGAGTAAGCCAAGTTTTTGTACCACAGTCTATTATAAACCACATCATGGATAAAGTTTACAAAACCATAGTCAGGTGAGGATCAAGGGTCTCTATAAAATATAATAATAGTAATCAGCTGATTGTCTCACGAACATAACCAGCATATTTCTCCCCACATAGCAAACCCATAATACAGCGAGGGAGAAGAACCACATGAAACTATCCAACTACATATTTTTTCTAACAGGGTAGTAAAAGTTTAGCTGGCTAATATGAGCTGTTATGCTGTAGGGCTGTGGCTGAGCTGGTTAAAGCGTAAAGCATTGTTTATACTCGACGCGTCCGCATGAGCGCAAAGGTAAATGGTGTCTAGGGGATGCGGAGGCCTCCGCATCCCCTAGACACCATTTACTACACACAAATTAATAAATAATAATGAATAAAAATATAGTTTTTTTTCTCTGGTTTTGAAAACTCTTCGCGATCGACTTAAAACGCTTCCAAGATCGACTTGTCGACCGCGATTGACGGGTTGGTGACTCCTGTAACGTTACTGTTTTACGGTCAATAGTACTAATCAGCTGATTGTCAAAGCCATAACACAGCGAGGGAGAAGAACTGTTACATGAAAAAATCCAACTACATATTTTACACCACTGACAAGGGAAAAGTAACTACTCACAGGGCCCTATCTTGCACCCAGCGCAATTGACTTTCTACACCGACGCATGTATCATTCGTAATTTGCACCCGTGCAAAGCGGACTTTTCCCTCCACAGAAATGAACTTGCGCTCCCTGGGCGGTTCAGCGCAAAAAAGGAGGCGTGTTCCGGCGCAAACAATCCCTGGTGCTATTTTGCAGTTCCAGAAAACGATTGCGCCACTGACCAGAAAAAACCTAGTCTAAAGTCAGTGGCGCGTTGCACATACATTCAGATGCTATTTTAAGCGCGCATGCTTGGCCATAATACAGAGTGTGAACAACGCGCATACACTGTAGATGATTCTCTCATCTACACAGATGCATTTTACTTTTTGCAAATGATACATTTTTATAAGGAAAAATATTAAAACACGAGGGAAATCATTGTTGTGTCCATGACGATGGGAAAAATAGGCATAAAGCTTACACATTTACCCAAATTATTATATGCATGTTTAACCGAAGCTAATTTGGGTGGGTTTGTCCCATCCCCAATGTCACTTCTCTTTCTTTTACGGCCCTGACGAGAACATCGGTCTCCTCGGCTGTGAACCGTTCGTCATGCTCTTAAAGGGAATGTGATATGACGTTCTTATTGGTTTGTTTCCCGTTACGCCCAAACCACACCTATGAATAATGAAGCTACTTCAGACCAGCCCCTTTTAGATTTGCGTCGAGCGCAAGAGTCATTTATCCCGCTGGTTAGATAGCAACAGCGCCGAGATCCGCCCACAAAGTTACTTGCACTTTGCGCTTGACACTTGCGTTTTAGATCGTTAAAATAGGGCCCACGGTGTCTATGGCTAGCTTCTAGCTTTCTGCGGCTTCTCTTTCAAGGTATGAACGAAACATGCTCTGTAGCGCTGTTTGTTCGCTGTCGGCTACGGTAGAAACATGACGTCACAATATGTCGACCTTCATAGAAGGGGGTGCCCGCGGTTATGTACATATAAATGTCTCATTCTAAGGTAATAAAAACATAACGGTTCATTGAGTAAGGTCTTTATCCAACACTGAACACATAGTTATGGATCTTATATTGCATTTCTGTCAATAGATCCTCGGAAATATTACACATTGCACCTTTAAGTTTAGAGACGTGCTCCAAAAAAAAAGTTCATGGTGACTGAGAGCCAGAAAGCACACCCTGTTTATTTTCTTTATTTTTTGTAAAAAAGCACAATGTTTTGTTTCGCTTGTAGGTGGACACATAAAAAAGTAGACATTTAACAGTCTGTATTTTAAGTCTATTTTGCTGCTATGTGAAAAAAATCGAGCAAATTGAGCAAAACGCAAAACGCGAAAACCCAGAGGGTTAAGAGAATAGGGACAAACCTTTTAAACCATGCGCCTGGAGCCGACCATTTTTCCCGTCGTTAAATTAGCAAAAGTGGATTCGGACACGCCCTAACTGCACTTGCGCCGTGTGCTTTAGACATGCGGTTAGATCATCAAAATAGGGCCCATAGTCTGTAATGATTACGGAGATGGCACATTTGGACGGGACTAAAATCACTGAGAAGATCTGGTAATAATTACTTCACCCCACCTCTCCAAGTTAAAATAATCCCGTCCGAATAGGGCTTAGGAGTGTAGTCTCCTTTCTTCCCCTTCCGCTCCACTTCTTACCACGCCTTTTTCCAAACTGGTGAGAACTAGACAGCTCTGAAATAGGGCATTTCATGACCCTTTAATTGGTCGACCACATATAGGTGAAAAAGGTAGACAAACTCTTACTAGTTACTTTATGTATTCACCTTTTGAATTGCAATACCATACCAAACAGATTTCCCTTTATTAACCAGTAAATAAATTTAGACCCACACTTAAAATTTTATTCAAGGCCTCTTACCCTTTTAGTTCATCAGCAATGCACATGCCAAACTGTTTGGTTCCCGTTTCCATAGATCTGCGTATCATTAGCCTGTATCGAGGCTCAAAAACATGCAGTGGGCAGGGAATGGTAGGAAATGCCATGGTGCAAACAAAGATGGGCACTTCCTGGTTCAAGCTGAAACAAGAAGAAAGTGCAACACATGAACAAGAGACGATACTAATGTCCGGGCAAGCAATGGAGAACAATTACAATATAGATAACAAATAGCTATGTGATGAATCATTAATTGTTCAGGGTATAACAAAGAGAACGTACTCGGTTACTAACGTAATCTCTGTTCTCTCCAGAGAGGGAACGAGTACTGCGTAATATCTTACGCTATGGGGAAAACCTCTTTTCCACGAGATATTGAAGCCAAAAATTATCCTTAATTTTTAATCAATGTAAAACGCTTTGCGGCAGCATGCAGACATAGGCGAGGCAGCTCGCGTGCCTATTGGCTGCCCTGCGGCAAAAGCAGCAGCCTATCGAGAGCGGCTCTGCGTGACGTCATGACCAATGGGGGCACTTTGCGCCCATTTCGTCACATCCCGCCAGAAAAGGCGTGGTCTCGCCCTATAAAAGCAGGTCGATAGGCTGATACAAACTGGTTTTCATCGCCGAAGCGAACCAGAGCGTATTTTAAGCACGGCAAGATACGCAGTACTCGTTCCCTCTCTAGAGAGAACAGAGGTTAAGTTGGTAACCGAGTACGTTCTCTTACGAGAGTATCTCTCGTACTGCGCAATATCTTATGCTATGGGGAACACAGTGTAACACGCCATGCATACAGGGATCCAACACCAAAGTCCCAAAGGCAGAAGCCCGGGGCGCATGTAGTGCATAATCACCATAGACTCACAGAGAGTGAAGGAAGAGGGGCTAGAAGCGTCATTCCTTATAAGTAGCATCCAGAGGAGCTAATCATATAAATGTTATACCACGCAGCCAGGGTGAAAGCTTTCAGCCTAAATTGGGTGGCCATACGTGTGTCAACACTCATGGAGCTGTTGTATCAGTCAGTGAGCGATACACAGGCCAAATTCAGCATCTGGGCCGGCACAGCGGGGCAGATAGCACTGAAGTCTAGACCACCAAAAGCTTAGCTTGTAAGGCGGGAACCTCCAGGTTATAGTATTTTATAAATGTAGACGGCGAGGCCCAGCCCGCGGCCGTACAGATATCTTGCAGGGTAATCCCGCTAGACCATGCCCATGAAGAGGCCACGCCTCTCGTGGAGTGCGCTCTGACACCCAAGGGGCACTGCAGGCCCTTAGAGGTGTAAGCCAGCGCTATAGCATCGACTATCCATCTAGATAGGCTCTGTTTTGATGCAGCAAGTCCCTTAGAACGTCCGCCAAACAAAACGAAAAGCTGCTCAGTCTGTCTAAAAACCAGCCGAGCGGGACACATAAGCTCTTAGTGCCCTGACAGGGCAAAGGAGACTCGCGTCCTTCTCCTCATTGAGAACCGGAAGGGCAGACAGGGAAATCACCTGGGCCCTAAACGGTGTGTTGAGGGATTTCGGCACGTACCCGTGCCTAGGTTTGAGTATGACCTTTGAGTCATTAGGCCCAAACTCCATACACGACGCGCAGAACACAGACCATTTCGAGGAATAGAGCCGTCTAGTAGACGGAGCTCTGGCCTGCGTGATCGTGTTTAACACTCCCTCCGGGAGGTTAGCGGGTACCCGTTGATGGCCCATGCGTGCAGGGACCACAGATCCGGGCGAGGATGCCAAATCGAGCCCCCTGGCTGAGAGAGGAGGTCTCTCCTCAGTGGTACAGGCCACGGGGCAGTGCTGGTCAGCTGCATCAGGACTGGGAACCAAGTCTGGTTTGTCCAGAGCGGAGCCACGAGCAGCACTGGGCATCCGTTTTCCCTGATTCGTTCCAACACTTGAGGCAGGAGCGAGACAGGGGGAAGAGCATATAGGGGACAGCGGGGCCAGACGTGGGCCAGCGCGTCTTTGCTTTTCGAGAAAAAGTTCGGACAATGAGCGTTTTCGTGGGACGCGAACAGGTTCACCTCCGCTTTGCCGAACGTTTCCCACAGCAGTTGGACCGTCTGCGGGTGCAGCGACCATTCCCCTGCTGGGACATTGTTTCTGGACAGTCTGTCTGGTCCCACATTCAGGCGACCAGGCACATGCGCTGCTCTCAGCGAGAGCAGGTTGTGCTGAGCCCAGACAGGAGGCGTTCCGTCAGCCTGTAAAGGTTTCGGGACCTGATGCCGCCCTGGTGATTTATGTATGCCACCACTGACATGTTGTCCGACCGGACCAAGACGTGGTGACCTTTTATCTGGGGACAGAAGCGCCGTAGCGCATTGTCGACTGCTATCATTTCCAAGCAGTTTATGTGAAGGAGCTTTTCCCGTTCTGACCACAGGCCAGCGAACGGTCTGCCCTCGAGCAGCACTCCCCATCCCGAGGTGGAGGCGTCCGTAGACACCACCTTCACACTCGAGGCGGTCCCCAGACTCACACCTGACTGATACCAGTCGATTACTTTCCAAGGTTCCAGGGCTGAAGCGCACTTTAGATCGACCCTGAGGCGAAACAGACCAGCGGTCCATGCCCGGGGCGGAACTCGCGCTTTCAGCCTGCAGTGGGCGCATGCGAAGCAGGCCCAGCTGGAGTACAGAGGCTGCTGAGGCCATTAGGCCCAGCATTTTCTGAAACCTTTTGAGCAGGACTATAGAGCTGTGGCGGAAGGATTTCGCGACACGCTGAATGTCTAGTCCGCGCTCCAGTGACAGGCGTGCTGTCATGGATCGCGAGTCCAGCACTGTTCCCCGAAAAGAAATTTTCTGACTGGGAGACAGCGAGCTTTTCGCCCAATTGACTGTGAGGCCAAGATTCTCGAGGTGCTCGAGTAATGTGGCCCTGTGTTCTATGAGCTCTGAGTGTGATCGAGCTAGAATCAGCCAATCGTCCAAGTAGTTCAAAACTCGCATGCCCCGAAGTCTCAGGGGTGCGAGAGCCGCGTCCATGCACTTCGTGAATGTACGGGGTGCTAGGGACAGGCCGAACGGCAGGACTGTGTATTGATATGCCTGGCCCTCGAAGGCGAATCTCAAGAATCACCTGTGATGGGACGCTATTTGTATTTGGAAATAGGCGTCTTTCAGATCTATTGACATAAACCAGTCATCCTGGCAAACTTGCGCGAGGATTTTTCTGGTTGTAAGCATTTTGAACTGGCGCTTCACAAGTGCTCTGTTCAGCTGTCGCAGATCTAAAATGGGTCTGAGACCTCCATCTTTTTTCGGTACCAGAAAATATCTGCTGTATAGGCCCCCTTCGCTCTGAGCCTGAGATAAAGATTCTATAGCACCTTTGCTCAGTAGTTTCGCTATCTCGGCTCGAAGTAGATGTGCTACTTCTCTTTTCACCGTGGATTTGACGCGCGCCGTGTAACGGCGGGGGCGTCGAGCGAACTCTAGCGAATAGCCTCTTTTTATAGTGTTCAGCACCCATTCTGATACCCCAGGAAGCTGTGCCCACACTTTCGCGTGAATAGCTAGGGGTAGAATGAGACTCCAGCGTGCTGTAACGCAGACACCGTGTTTACAGTGTGTGAGGCGGGGGGGCGCGCCGATCGCGGCGGGCAGCCTGGCCGCGCTCAAATCCCTTATAGCAGTTTGCTGAGGGAGAGAGAGCGGGGCGAGCCCCGTGGGGCTTAACATGTCTGTGAGTGAATGTGGGCGCGGGACAGCGGGCACATTTACTGCACTGAAAACACCGTCGGCCTAAGCTGACTGAATGTGTGTTGGTTTCGTTTTTACAGAAACCGTGGGACATGTGGTGTGTAGTGTTTGTGGGCACTGAGACGTGGGCACATTCACTACATTTAGTGCACAATCGACATGAGGCGATTTTGTTTGTGCGAGCCCTGCATTTTTGCGGGCTGTGTTCGTGTGTAGAAATGAGCACTGGGTTGTGGGCATTTTCATTACACTCATAACACCATCGGCTGTGGCCAGAATACCAGAAAATACACTGCTTATGTGATTTATCTGGGTCGCCGTGGAAACAGCATTTGTGTGCAGGCAAGCGGGCCGTGGTACTGGCTTGCTTACTGCAAAATACACTGGAACAGTCGCACTTTCTGGAACTGAACGAGCGAAAAATTACGGTGGAAGTCTGGCCGCGGCGAGACTGAAACACTGTCGATTTCCTAGGAGGCTAGGAAGACTTGTGTTGGTTTCGTTTTACAGAAACCATGGTACATGCAGTGTGTAGTGTTTGTGGGCACTGGGTTGTGGGCACATTCACTACATTTAATGCACAATTGACATGCGTCAATTTCATTTGTGCGAGCCCTGTACCGTGGCGGGCTGTGTTTGTGTGTAGAAATGAACACTGGGCTGTGGGCATTTTATTACACTCATAACACCATCGCCTGTGGCCGGAATACCAGAAAATACAATGCTTATATGATTTTTCTGGGTCGCCGTGGAAACGGCATTTGTGTACAGGCAAGCGGGCCGTGGTACCGGCTTGTTTACTGCAAAATACACTGGAACAGTCGCATTTTCTGGAACTGAACGGTTTCGGTGGAAGTCTGACCGCGGCGAGACTAAATTTTTATCTGCTGCGAGAGCCGGGATCGAACACGGGTCTCTCGCGCGAAGGCTTCAGGTTCCGCCACTGAGCCACAGGGGAGAACAACATTAGCTTGAGCAGATAAGAGAGCGTCATCACAGTTTTGTGTGTGTCGGCGTTTGTTTGCAGGTGTGCGTGTTATACAACAGGCTCATTGCTGCAATATTGACATTTCAGCCGCTCAAACTAAGAGGAGCTGAGAAATGTTTGAGAAATGGAGATTGCTCCGGCCTCGGCGGGACTAAAACACACTCTTTCCTCATTTTGCCGGTGACGCACGCCCGGGGGCGGGGGCGGGGTAGATTTCTTATAACGTAAAGAAACCTAGCCGCGGTTTAGGGCTCGCGGTCTTGATGCCGGCCCGTTTCCCTGACGACTCGCGGACAGAAGGGGGGAGGTCCACAGAGCTCGCCCAATCCACTGTCCGACGCCAGGATAGAGCAGCTGGCCTTCTCTACAGATGCAGCTATCTCGTCGTCATTAATGGCGGAAGCGGCGGCGCGCGGCGGCCGTTATCCGTCAGTGAGCGACTCGAGTGAAGCTAGTGAAGCTGGTGAAGCTGGCGGGCGAACCGGCGAGCTTTCACGGGCTGGAGAAGGCTTGGGGACCCGCTGAGTACGGCGCTTTTACGGCGCGGCACTGTAGCGGGTGGAAGTGCAGTCTCGCTGAAGGATGCCAGGCGAGTCCTCAGAGTCACCGTAGGCAATAGCTCGCAGTGAGGGCAGCCGCCGTCGGCGAGCGCGAGAGCTGCATGATCCTCTCCCAGGCAGGAAACGCATCACATGGCGGTCTCCGTCGCTGAGTGTGACTCGGCACGAGCCACAGGAGGATGGCATCTTTAAAAAGACGCGGCTCTTTTAGATGATAGACGTGTGAGTCGCGGGGCGAGCACACACACACATACACACAGAGCAGAGTAAAGGATATATAGTACGCCGGAAAGCGCAGCAGGTCCGGCGGCTGAAGGCGGTGAGCTTCGCTGAAGAGATGAAAATCAGTTTGTATCAGCCTATCGACCTGCTTTTATAGGGCGAGACCACGCCTTTTCTGGCGGGACGTGACGAAATGGGCGCGAAGTGCCCCCATTGGTCACGCAGAGCCTTTGAGAGGTGGTCAAAACCTAGGTGTGTATGCGTGTGAGTGAGTGTGTAGACATGTTACAGCAAAGGTCAGAAAAGTGTTAGGAAAACCACTATATCCAAAGCCAACTTACTTTGACAGTTCTTTCATCTCTTCTTCATGTACTTTTCGCCTTTCTGCTAACTCGTCACAAAAGTAGCGCTGCAATACTTCTTCCATTAGAAGAGTTATGTTGTCCGCTCTAGTGGCCAGATACTGTAGAAATGAAAGATATGTGCACTTTGGATAAGAAAGTATCTCCTAAATGACTAATCTCACTAAACTGACTGAGTTTCTGAAACAACATAATGAATAAGAAAACTAAAGCAAAACAATGATACATTTATGCTGACATGGGTGAGAACATTTCATTGAGGAGAGAATAAAATGTTGTTCATACAGATCAGGGGTCTCATTTATAAAGCGTGCGTACGCACAAAACGGGGCTGGAAACGTACGTACGCCAGTTTCCACGCAAAGGTTGTGATCTATAAAAAACAAACTTGACGGGAGAATGTGCGCACCTTTAAGCAAACTTTGAGCCGTGCGTACGCACGTTTTGGAGACGGAGCAGTTTGGCGACACAGATGGTGAGCTGGAGCTAAATGTCTTTTTGGTCACTTTTAGACCGACAATCTAAAGAAAATTATACATACAGTATACAGAAAGATAATACAAATATAATTTCACTCACCAAGCCTATCACATGAAGCAAACATCCATCCCTTTGTTAAATATCCATCCCTTTGTTCTTTAGTGAAACTGACACAGCCTAATCTAAAACCGTAAATCCTCATTATAATCATAAATACAGTGTTCTGTGAAATATGTTCACAATAACGGTTTAAATAAATAAAACTATATTTTACTTCTGATATAAACACTTAGATTAAATATACCATTCTGATTAATGGAGTTAGACACTTAAATTACATGAAATCATTACTGAGAAGTTACAAAAAAAAATTATATTCAATAAATAGAAATATTTGTTGTGGATGCAATGCTTTCAAACACTTTTCCTCTGGCATGCTGTGTTTTAATGTTTTAACTACAGAGATAATTGCTTATCACGATAATAGCAGATTGTCTGAGAAAATAGTTTCGTGCAAATAATGCACTACAAGGTCTATCTGTTTCCATTAAAAATATAAATCAATTAAAAATACTCTTTGGCCAGTGGAAAAGATTGAGAAAAACTTTCTCTGAAATGTATTTTACACTATTTGATTTATTTATTCAAAAACAAGGCAAGGATATAGGCTACTAAATTATTTTTTATTAATGTAACTAATGTGACGGCACATCCGTATTTCATATTTTCCAAATGTCTTGTACCGTTAAACATATGTTATCACGTGGATTAATAATCATATGCAAATGATATGCAGATGAGGATATGCATAGTAAAACTAGGCGTTGTAAGCTCCATATATGGTTATTTCGGGGAGGAGACACATGTGCGCGCATTCTTCCGCTGACTGGGATTTATAAAGGGAATTCTGCGCAGGTTCTGGCGTACGAACGGTTTTATAAGTCAGAATATTTGTTTGTGTGCGCCATTTTTGGCTTTCGGGCGCACGTACACTTTTAGTAAGGATTCTACGCACAATTTTATAAATGAGACCCCAGGGCTGTATATAGTAAAATTATTAAATGTTAAAACAACTTCATTATTCGTAAGTGTGTGATAACCACAATTATCTAGGTCCAAGCACCAATGGCTCATGCAGACCATACAGTAATAAAATTGCCATGCGTCGTGACTCAAAACGATGTAGTATACATGCCAAACCAGTATGTGGCGCTGTAATTCTGCCACAGAGATACACTAAAAATGGAGAAGACTTGGAGCATGTGCATAAACCTTGCGCGCTGTATACAATAACAATAGGCTCAGTAGCTTCTTTTTTCTTTTACCAAGAACTTTATTGAACAATGTAAACAACCATAAATGGCCTGGTACAAAATATGAAATGTCTTATGCTATGATGCTTTTCTGTTGTCTGATTAAGAAAGAAAATATAAATAAAGAAGTAAAATAAAGAAATAAAATACAAATACATTCAAGTAAATAATAAATAAAGAAATAAAAGGGGCTCAGTAGCTTCTGCAGCACGAACACAAGTATGTAGTCCGCAGTTGTTGTTGCTGTTACGTGACGTAGCGGTGTCTGACTACTAGGGGGTCAACACGTGGGGTGATGACATCATCGTTTCACAAAATATACGGATTGGCTGTACACACGAAAACGCAAGGGTGTCGGTTTCAGATTTATCAACTCTAGGACCCGGTTAAAAAAAATAGCGGTTTCAGGCTTCCAAAACGCCGGATCCGTCTTGACGAAACGCTGATCCGATACAAAATTTTTAAGTATACAGCTAAATGTGTCTCCGTGTGGACAAGGCCTTAGAGTTTTGTTTTTGATCTTTTTCCATTTTGTTCAAGTTTGTATTTCTTTGTTAATCTTCTAATCTGCCCCCTGACAGTTTGTTTTCATGGTTACTAATTGATTTAGTTCTGTTCTAGTCCTCTCTTGTTTGCTGTGTATTTAAGCCCCATGTTTAGTCCTGTTCAGGGTCTGTCGTCATCTGTGTGTAACTTTTGCTAGTTCCTGGTTGTTTTGTTCCTTGTTTTTTTTTTATCTTGAGTTACTGTTAGTTTGAGTTCATCATTAATAAAGACAGCTGCACCAGTTTCATCTCTGCTGCAACCAGGACCGTGACAGTATTTAATCGGACAGCAATATATTCAGTCATGTCTGGAAACTTCACAAATGTGTCTTCAATTTCATTAGAATATATAAACATTAAGGTAACGTTTAAAAATTATAAATTATTACAATTTCCCGTCTTTTGGTGCTAATGATTTATTGTATTTTTATTATATGAATTATAATTGTAGAATTCATATAATATATTCATATAATTACTATATTAATTGATACATAAATTCAAGCTTTAATATATAAAGCTCTTAATCAGATTAAGCTTTACACGCTATAGAGCAGAGATGCACCGATCATGATTTTTCAGGACCAATTCTGTTTTTGTTTTGTTTTACAAGCAAATGGGCAGATTCCAACACCGGTTGGCAAACTTTTTCTTTATTTAAGCAAATTTATTTGTTGTTTATTTTCTTTATAACAGGTCAAACTGGTCTTTAAAAATATCTGTGGCCATTTGAAATTAGAGGCAACCACTGCATTTTAATCACAATCCAAACACAGATGCTACACACATGTAACATGAGCAGTTGTTTTTTATTAGATTGTATAATTACAAGATTTAAATAAAAAACAGAATGGTCTGACTTTAGATTTGTGAAATTATGCTACATAAGAGACCTGCACAAAACAAAAACAGCAGATGGACTAAATGAAAATGCAAATTCACTCTCTGACAGTAGGTGACACTTATGGAACAGCAGGGGTTTCTTTGAGTGCCGCTGTACACAAAGCAGTGCTGTGCTTTTAAACACTACTTTATACAGAGGTAAGAGGAAAAGACAATGCCATCAAAACTTTTCTGAAAACTTTTATCCAAATTAACTAATTTTAAGCAATTCTTTAGATTAAAAAATTTCTTTCAAACAAAGCAATGTGTGTGTTGATGGCTCTAAATCTTACATTGACTGCCCTATAAGGGATCCACAAGATTGATTCTATTTTATGATCAATTTTAGCCACACTTTATATAGCTTACCTAAAAGCTTACCATTTAGCTTACCTAAAATGTTAATGTTCAAATGTATGTAGATGATGAAGTCATTTTCATTTTTGTAAATAATTTTGAAGAAGCATGAAGTCTAACTTCTGCAATAATCCATGTTCAGATCATGTTTGTTAAATGGTGTACATGATGTTTACAAGGTAACGCTTCCTTTTACAGTCCTGTTACCCATGTACTTACTATGTACTTATTATAGTAATTATAATTACTGGGTAATAACTAGGTACTAACCCTGAACCTAAACCTACCCCTAACCCATGTACTTACCTTATATTAGCCAGTACTTTCTAAGTAAGTACACTGTAAGTACACGTAAGTACTGTACTGTAAAAGGAAGCATTACCGTTTACAAAACAACCGGTTCAGATGACATTCTAATGTGTTCCTGGTAGGGAAGAGCTTGATATTGAAACGGAGTTCAGAAAAGAAAACAAACAGGATGCGCTTTCTGCCGTCTCAGTCTCTGCTAACTTCTTTCTGAAACACGTCAAAAAAATGAACCAACACTCAGTGAATATTTGCCACACAGACGAGAGATGTGTCTTTAAAAAGCTTGAAGTGTATACTTTTAAATGACGCAAGCCATATTAAAAATATTCTCCGTTTATGTAATCAGTAGGGGTGGGAATCTTTTACCATCTCACGATTCAATTCGATTCCGATTCTTGAGGCCACGATTCGATTCAAAATCGATTTTCGATTCAAAAAGATTTTCGATTTAAAACGATTCGATTTTATCCATAATGATTTCTAATCGGGTTTCTGATCATGATCTACTCTCATCTGCTTTGCTATACAGAATGACAAACGGAGACCAGTGTTTCCTCTAGGATTTTTTCCAGCTGTGGTGGCAGGCCCATTTCGCCAGGGGGAGGGGGCGTGGCCCATGAGTGATATTCCCATTGGCCACGCCCCCTTACCCCAGGTGTTTAAACCTCCCCTAAGTATTATAACATTATAACATGAAAGGCTCGAATAAGAGCGGCAAAGCGATTATGCGCATCCCGTGCGCAGAATGATGCACTTGAAGCAACGCGAAGTCGCAGCGCGCAGCGCTCCGGATTGAAAAGTTCAAAGCACAAAGCGAAGAGATTATATCTGTCTATCTATGCTTAATGTATTATATATATGCAACAGTTTATTGAGCATTTTCTTTAAACAGTTTTAAATTTCAGTTACAGTGCGCATGAAGAACAATTCATAGCGCTCTCCAGTGCTGTAATCTAACAGACACCCGGGAGAAAGGATTATGATTTAGAAAACGCTATAACGCGACGCGCTGTGTGAATGCTGAATGGAGAATGACTGAGGAGAGATGAGTTTCCATTAACTTTAACTAACGACTTAAATATTCATTTTTACCTCACATTATGCTATTATGACTTTAGAAGTCTTGGAATATAGTGCGAACACTTTATGGTGCTTTACAATGTTTATTATGCCTTTAGCTTAACAATAACACAATCACATTAATATCGGACCTCA